ACCCAACCCCGACGCGCTCAGCGTCGCCCAAACGGTGTCAGATCCCTACCACGGGCTGCTGAGCCCCCTTAGCACCTTGGGGTGCAGGCAGGGAGTGCTGCCCAAAATCCCCCCATGGCTCATGCGAGTGGAGGAACCTGGTCCTTTCCCTGCTGTTTTTGGCCACCGCCTTCGGACATGTCTGGGCCCCCGCTTCCGGCCATGTCTTGCCCCTTGGGGCTCAGCTGCCGCCTCCGCGCTGGCTCTGGGGCGCAGCACCCCGGCACCCGATGGGCCACATCCTGCACCCAGCCCCGAAATCCTCCGCCTCCGCTCTGTGACACCCCTTCCACAGAAATCCCCGCAGTCGTTTCATTGATTTGGTTTATTTGCCTTTTTTTTTTGTAATTTTGTGGGGTTTTTTTTTGAAGTACCGTACAAAAAAAAAAAAATCCTCTTACAGTAACAAATACTGGGTTTACAATTAGTAAACATCGACAGAAAGAGCATAGAGAAACTACTGCTGGTAACGAAGAGCTGAAGTGGCGAGTTATTATTGCATATACCTAGGAACTAAAAATCTCAGGAGCGCTCAATGCAGCTGCCATGGTCTCTCTGAGCCCAAAATCCCTCAGTGGGGACAGCGTGGAGCATCCTGAGCTGGGGACATGGAGGAACAACCCCCGGCCACGTTGTACTCATGGGTGCGTGGCGCGGTTGGGAGACACGGGGACAAGGTACAGGGGTCACAAGCAGCAAAGCACAGCCCAGGGCCTGGAAACGGGGCACTGGTGGCACCAACAGCACGAGCGAAAGCAGTGAAGGAGAAATCACAACCAGCTGCAGGGAGCTTGGGGGAAAACGGAGGGAAAAAGCAGGGTTTTAGGTGAGCAGAATCAAGCACCGTCAGGGAAAGGCAGCCCTGGGGAAAGGCAGTTTCCTCCTTGTACGTTTGCAAGCAGAGCCCCATTGGGGACGGGTGATGGGAACTGGCGGGCAGGAAGGGACAGTGTGGGGAAAATTCAGCCAAAAGGGTTAAAAAACACTGTCAGAAGCTGGAATTTCCCCAGCAGAGCCTGGATGAGCACGAAGCGAAGCGCTGAGACAGGCAACGGCTTCAAGCTGAGACTCTGCCGGATGTAGGGTGGTGAGGAGACGCGGCCCCCATGGCGCAGGGAGGTGCTGGGGCACAGGGACCAGCATAGAGTCCCTGGGGTGAAAACGTGGGGTATTTTTATCAGTGGCAGCTTTGGGGTGGTGGCATGGCCCCCCCAGGCCCCTCTGCTCTGAGCACCATCCCTCCCTGCCCTCATTCCTCTAAGCCCAAATTATTCCCTTAATGATCACTGATGACATTTAGCAAGTGATTCCCTGTGCCCTGCAGCTCTCCTGACCATTGATGGGTCAGGGCCGGCACTGCTGCCCGGCATCCTCACAGCACCAAACACCGAGAAACCGGAGGGACCAAAAAACATGGTTAAAAAGCAGGAATGGGGTCTGTACAGCCAAGTGCGAGAGAGCTGCCACGAGTGATGGGAACGGGACGTTTTACTCCAGCAATGCCAGACCCAAAAGAATCAAGGCTGGAGCAGGTGAGAGGAGGGACAGCACAGTGCCCAGTACCACTGACATGTTGGGGACAGGACACGGGCAGAGCACTCAGCACCCCACAGATACGGCACAGCCCGAGTCATGACACGAAGCAGAAGCGGCAAAGCCATCAGCATCCACCAGCCAGTCCCGAGGACGCGGCCTCCAAAGGGAAAACCTCTCCAGCAAATCGAGAGGACAATTAATGCTTTCTTCCAGCCGGGCGAACAGGATGGGCCAGCAAAGCAAACTCCACCACGGCCTCAACTTGCTGCCCCAGCCCAGCTTTTAAAGCTCTTTTCAACCAAAATCCCCGCAACAAAACCCCTGCTTGCGCCCGCAATGGGCGCCTACAGCAGCCCCAGCTCCTTCACGCCATTCCCCATACAGTACTCATGATTATAAGTGCTTTGCATACATAATTTGACGTCATGCATATACATTTCTGCGTGCCAAGGCCCTCAGCCCAGCGATGCCATCCTCCTGCAGCAAAGAGGTCCTTCATTTTGCGTAGGGCTCGTAGCGTGTGCTGGGCTCCTCCTGGACCTGAATCTGCAGCAGCCTGGCCCAGCTGCGTCGCAGTGGGAGTTCAGCAAACACCAGGGCTAAGGTAAGCAGCCGAGCATGAAAAGAACCATTATTTACAGAGCTTCAACAGGTTACGATTGCAGAGATTCACCAAAACCAGCCGGAAACAATGAGCTGTGTGTCTGCCGGGAAAACACGGGTACCAACACAGATTTCACAGCTTCGTTGGCACAACCAAGGTGAGAGATTCATCAAGCGGATCCTCCCTCCCCAGACAACACTCCAGAGGTGGGGGTGACGTCAGGGAACACAACATGAGGTGGGGCATGGCACTGAGCGGAGACCTCGGCTGAAAAGCCCCACAGAGGACGGGGTTTCTCATTTCTAAAGGGATCTCTGCAGGGAAGAGCAGTGCCCCTCGTACCAGACAAGATCAGAGAGAAGCAGGAGTGAGGATGCGCACGCTCAACTGCTCAGCATCCCCTCATCAACCTCTGCATCCTCTTGGTCACAGCAGTGCTCGCAGCCGCTCAGCCGGGCACCGACGCCGTATCACAGCGAGGATTTGGGAACGTAGCTCTGCAGCGATGCGTAGCGGGGCACCTGCCAGCAAGAAGGGGATCTGACTGGTTTTTTGGGAAGGGGAGGGGGCTGCGCTCGCCCACAGCAATTCAATCGCGATTGGATCCCATCTCCTAGAGGCCAGAGCCTGCTGGGAGTCACCAGCCCAGGCTTTTTTTTGTCCCATCAGCCAACATGGGTTTCAGCTACTGACCAAAAGGGACACCAGGAACGGTCACGGACATCTCAGAGGCTCTGGAGGGGCAGGAGCACAGAGACTCAACTATACAGGGTGCAAGAGTCCAGAGCCAGAAAAGCAGCGCCGTGGGGAGAAGCTGAAGGCAGCTGTTGTGTTGTGCATGGGCTGCTCATCTGGCTGGCGGCTGGGAAAGGACCGGGTGCGCCAGGGTGACATTCAGGGAGTCATTGTGCTGCACCAGGGATGTGTGCTTGTAGTGCAAGACCAGGTCCTTGAGGGAGGCGTAGAGGTTGTAGGGTTCGGCGAAGCCGTAGCCGGTAGCCGTTTTGTAGATCACGCAGTGCTTGGTGTCACCATCCACCCTGCCAGGGAGACAAAGGAGCAGGGTCAGCGCCACACCAAGGACAGCAGGGACAAGCAGGCATCACCACAGCCACCCAAAAATACATCTGGCACTGGCAGGAGGAGCCGAGGCAGACAGGAGACCCTGGGAAAGGGCAGAGCGATGTAGGAGCACAGCCCACACCAACCCCGTTCCCACCACATCCACTCGGGGGTACTCACACCACGGAGCAGGCGTAGCACCCCTTCTGGCTGCTCTCACGGATCAGGAAGGTGCCGTCCCGCTTGCCGCACAGCATCTCCTCCGCCTGCAAGCGGTTGATCTTCCCCACGTACCACGTCCGCTCCTCGTGGTGGGGCAGCTCCTCCTCGTCGTCCATCATGGAGTACTGGCTGCAATCCAGCACAGGCAGGGTCAGACCCACTCATTTTGGGCACGTGGGCCCCAAATCTCCCCTCCCACTGCTAGCTGCGATCACCCCTCCTGGCAGGGAAGGCATCTGAGGCTCCCAGGCAGGGAGATGGGACCTGCCCACAACCCCGGAGCAGAACCTCCTGCGCTCCTGCAGCCCCCAACACGTAAGCATGGACACTCACTCCTCTGTCTCATTCTTGATGCCCAACCACTCGTTAATTTTCTTCTGCCGGGCGCCTTTCTGCGTCAGCCACCTGGGGAAAGAGAGGCAGAGCTCAGCGCAGGCAGCACGCCCGGCCTGCGGCGTCCAGGCCAGACAGCACTCGCACAGCCATCGCCAGAGGGCGGCAGCCGTCCTCCTTTGAGGGACCGCCGTGCCCCGAAGCTGCATACTCCAGGGCTCGCTCCTCCAGCAGCCCACAAGCCGGTCCAACAAGCCTCAAGGAGCCAGCTGGATCGCTCCTGGGCCGGGCTGGGAGGGCAGCAGGGCTTCCGTGGGTGCAGGGACTACGTACACCAAATACTGGTCCCGCAGTTTGCGCAGCTGCATGAGGTCTGGCTTGAGGCTGTTCATGCGCTTGTCGATCTCCCGGTTCTCCGAGGCTTGTTTCTTCAGGTCCTGCTCCAGCTTCATCTTGCTGTCGTGGATCTCCGTGATGCGAGATTTCAGCTTCTCCGAGTTCATGAGGATCCTAGGAGAAGAAGCAGGGGGGGTTTTGGCTGTGAGCCAGGGTGAGGGAGGCGGAGGAGGCAGCTTTCCAGCTCCAGCCCACAGCACGATGCTGGAGATGGGGCTTGCACACAACTCGGCTCTGCACTGGGCCAGGATCAACCTTGCAGCCCCCAGAGCCCTTCTCCAGCCAGGGCAGGTCCTGGCAGGTCCCACCACCACCCCCTGTCCTCACCGTTGCACCTCCTTCTCGTTGCCCTCCCGCCGGAAGCGCTCTATGTACTCCTTGCTGCATTTCTCCTGTGTCTGGCACTGCTCCTCAAAGATCTTGATGGTCTCGTTGAAGGCCTCAATTGCTGTCCTCTTCATTTGCAGCTCCTGAGAAGAAGGGAGAGCTGAGGAAGAGGGAGCATTTGGGCCAGTTTCTGCCCATTCACATCCCCTTTTCCCCTCCCCACAGCAGATCTGTCCTTGCTGCAGCCAAAATATTCCCCTCTTCAAAGCCCATCCTCTGGGGAGTCCCCTCAAGCCCAGGAACAGACAAATGGGGCAGCGAGCGCCCAATCTTTGCTCTCCGCACGCAGCTGCATGGCTGCCAGCCATGAGGGGATGCCAGGGTAGCCCCTGGGGAAGGCAGCACCCACGTACCTGGGAGGTGCGTGTGTACTCCTCATACAGCAGGTCGTACTCCCAGCTCTTGTCCTGGTACTGCTGGTGATAGACCTTCAGCTGCTCCCCGACGGCTTCCACGCTGTCCTCTTTCACCACTTGGTCCTGCCATATGCACAGCATAACTCACGACCTGCTCCTGCCCTGCAGCAACCCCTTTGTGAGGCAGCTGCTCCTACAAAATCCCACCGGCCCTGCAGGTGTCACCCCCAAAGCAATGTCCCAGCATGGAGGGAAGGGGTGGGATGTTGGCATCTACCAAATGACCAGGGATGGACGAACAAATGCCCCTGGTTCAGGCACAGGCCTCACCTGCTGGTACTTGGAGATGGGGTAGAGCAGCCTGGTGTCCAGCTTGGCGTTGTACTGGGCAAGCGACTCATGCCGGTAATGGGTGATGAGCTCCACCACCGAGCCAAAAGTCAGGGGCTCCGAAAAGCCATACTTCCCTTCCCGGTGGAAGATCTTGATCAGCTTGTTATTACCTCCCTTCCTGCAGCAGGGAGGGGACAGAGGACACTTATCACCACCCTGTACCTGACACCGGCCCCATGTCTTGACCATAGGCACAGGGACACAGGCTGACAGCTCCACACCAGCGCAGTGGAGGTTTTTGGGTGACTCCAGCGCCCTACCTGAGCGTGAGCGTGTACTCCCCTTGGATCTTGCTGGAGGCATCACGCACCAAGAAGGTACCATCTGGGGTGTCTCGTAGCTTCTCATTCACCTCCTCCCTGCAAGGAATGGGATTGGCATGGCCTGTAAGGTGCAACCAGAGCCACCCTAGGTAATTTGACAGACAGAGCACCCAGGATTAGAGCTGCCAGTCACCCCCTTACCGGGAAATGTCACCCCAGTACCACTCAGCATCCTGCAAGGGCATGCTGTTCCCGTTGGCCAGGCTGGCTGCGCTGGGCTTTGGCTTAGGTGGTTTTGGAGGCAAAGCTGCAAGAAAAAGGAGGGTTAAAGCAGGATGAGCACAAGTCTCAGCTGCCCATGGGTAAGAGCAATGAGTCCCCTCCCTGCAGTGACCATCCTGGAAAGCCCTGCCTGGCCATCATCCAGCCAGAAGCTGCTACAGGCTCATCTATAGCAGCAAATGAGCACCTGGAGCAGGCATCTAGGGCTACAGAAACACCACCAGTGATGGGGGCAAAAACTCCACACCCACAGAGCATAAACACCAGTGCCTTGGGCCCCAAGGAAGGGGCATTTCAGTACCTGGAGGCAACTGCTCTGGCTCCAACTCCTTCGTCTGCAGAAGTGTCTCCAGAAACAGAATGGAGAAGTCAGGGCTCAGCTCTGGGCTGCAGGGAGAGAGGAGCCAAGATCAGCGGTTGTGGGGGAGAATTGGGCACTGCTCCCGTGCCCTCCAGTACAAAGAGGCAGCCAGGGTCGGTTGGTTCACCCCAGCAAAGGCTCTGCCCTGGCTTTGAGTCCCACCTCAGTGTGCTGCCAGCAGTTTAATCCCACGTGCAGCGAGGCAGGGGCTGTGGGCAGAGCTGCTGTTACGGGCTGGACTCCTTGTCCAGTGGCCAACACTTGGTACCCGGCTGGAAGCCGAAAGCCTCACGTACCTGGCGCCAGGCAGACGGAGGAGAAGGGGGCCGAAGATCTCTCCCAGGGCCCGAGGGTGGAGGTTGTTGCTCTCAGCCTGCTGCGATACCTTCCCCAGATGCCGGAGCAGGAACTGCAGGGTGAGCATGTTCTGGAGTGGGACCGCAGGCGACTCCAGGGCCAGCAGCAGCTGCTTCCGGCAATTCTCCGGCTGAGGGATCTCTGGGGACAGAACAAGACACGATGGAAGGGCTGGGACAGCTGGCACCACTTGCCATGCTCCGGCTGCGTCACAGCGTGGGAGCGCTGTCAGCAGCAGGGGCCGTGTGCCAGGCCCCATAGGGACAGGACTTATTTTAATGCCCCAAAACACATCCATCCCACCCAGCTGCCCCTTCCCAAGCTTGGGCAGGGGAAGTCCTTACCCTGCAGGACACGGAGGATGTCCCCGTGCGCGGCCACTGGCACCACGGGGGAGGGCAGGTCCTGCAGGTATCCTCGCAGCGCCTCGCCCAGGGAGTGCACATCGAAGGGCTCCGGGTCGCCCAGGGTCCAATCTGCCAGGGCATGGATTTCCCATGGGTGGTGGGTGCAGCACTGGGCACCCATGGGGCAGCCCCGGTGCTGCCAGCACCCATCTCAGAGACCCTCACACACCACAGGACACGGCAGCCTGGCACAAAGGAGCTCAGGCAGCCCTCGGGCAATGGAGGACACCTGAAAGTGCCGCCTGCACCCCAGAAATAAACTGACTCAGGCAGGTTCCCCATCAGAAGGGGTAGAAGTCATTTTGGGTGCCCATGCCCTGTGCCGTGAGCCCGGTGCTGCCAGCACCCATCTCAGAGACCCTCACACACCACAGGACACGGCAGCCTGGCACAAAGGAGCTCAGGCAGCCCTCGGGCAATGGAGGACACCTGAAAGTGCCGCCTGCACCCCAGAAATAAACTGACTCAGGCAGGTTCCCCATCAGAAGGGGTAGAAGTCATTTTGGGTGCCCATGCCCTGTGCCGTGAGCCCTGCCACAGACATCTTGGGCATGCCAGCTCATCAGAGCACCCCAAGAGTGGGACACCCCAAAGAGAACAAGCACAGGGCCTGCGAGTCTCCGAGCCGGCACCGCATCCCTTTGCTCCAAACCCATGGATGGTGGCAGGAAACCCCACTATTTTCCATCCCATCCATGTGAGAGGGGGACATTTTGGGCCGGGGCCGGCCCAGCCCCACAGGCAGTGTGCCAGGAGTCAGGAACTGCCGGGGACAGCCGAGCCTGGCCTGGATTGCATTAGTGCTGGCGCTGTCACATCCCCTAATCTCCTCCATCTGAGCTGATTCGCCTCCTCGCCACGCGGAGCTGGTTCTTACCGGTTCTCAGCGCTTGCCTCAGCTCAGAGCCAGATGTCCTGTACAACATCTCACTGTCTAACCCTGTGGAGGAAGCGGGGACACTGCCGTTAACCGGCCCTGGATGGTGTCTCTACAACCTTCCGCAGCCCCCATGGCCCCCCGGTTCAGTGGCCCCATTTCTCCCCCACAGCATAGATCTGTGCTGGGAGCACTTCCCAAACCTCAGCATCCATCTGGGGTGTGCAGACCCAGCACCCTCATCCCAGGCCTGGCTCTGAGGAGCAACAGCTCAAACCAAGGAGTGGAAGGCCCCCTCATTCTGCAGGCAGCTGCGTTCCGCATGTCCCACAGAGCTTGGTCCAACACCAAGAGTTTTTAAAGACAGCTGCCTCCTCCTCTGCCCTTGCTGAGGTTTTTTTTTTAGAGGTATCAGCCCCTCATTTCTCAGCAGCCTCCTTACCTTTTTTCTCAATAGCTTCCACCAGCTTCACCAGCAGCGGTGGTGCGATCTCGGGGGGGCTGAACTGGTCCTGCAGGTCTGGGAGAGACCCTGGGGGAGAGAGAGGGAAAGAAGAGGTCAGCCCCAGCTCAGCCCCCAGGAGAGCCAGGCCATGGCCCCTGCCTCGAGGCCACAGCCCATGCAAACACCCATGGAGACCATGGGCAACCTGCAAGCTGGCCCAAAAGCCAGCACAGCACTTTTTGAGTCCGGTCTTGCTCCAAATACCCAATGGGGGTGTGCATAGGGGTGCTCCCTGGAGAGGCTGGGAGGCAGAGCCCATTTATTTTCCCGGGGACCCCAGCACTCTTCAGGCATTACCGTGGCTCCCGGAGCTCAGCTGGGGTTCGCTCCCTGCCCAGCGCTGGTGGAGAAGCGCGGCCAGGGAGCTCGCTGGTGGTGGTGAGCTGCGATTCAGACAGAACGCTGTGTCAGCAAATTCCTGCCCTTGATTGCTTGTTTCACATGGAAACCAGCCCTCCGTCTCCCCCTCAGCCTTCGTGCAAGCTGTTATGGTGTGCACGCAGCCCATGGCATGGGACCGGCATCCCCCACTTCCCGGGTGATCTATGGCACCACATCAGGGGCATTTCACTGCCGCTTCCAGATTTTGAGGTTCTGCCTCCAGGCACCCCTTTCCCCTGCGCTGGAAGGTGACGCATGCCAGGGCAGGAGCACACAGGCCCAACCGGGACTTTGGCCGAAGGCTGAGTGGTGTCAGGCCCTGTTTTGCTCCCAACCGGCGCAGGAGCCTCTTCTGGCACCGAGCAGCCCCCGAGGACCCCACGGTGGGTGAGGACACCCAGCACATCCCGCTCCGGGCAGACAGAGTCAAAAGGCTGCTCCCCATTGCGAAACACGGCTCTGTTGTCACGGATCTGACCCGAATTCGCCCGGTGTGGTCCCACCACATGGCGCCGCAAGCTGAGCCTCCGCACCCACGGCCTTGCAGGGGAGCGAATGGGGCAGGCACCCAGCAGTTCTGCAAGGACTTGTGCTGCTGCGGGGGGAAAAGAGCCCCTGGGCATGAGAAGGGGCCCAGGGTGGCGCTGCTCGGGGTGGGGAAGCTGCAGGCGAGCGGCCAGGCTGGCAGCTCTGAGCCTGACCCTTGGGAAGGGCTGAAGGGAGAGCAAACACTGGCGCTGCCCACGTGTCCCGGCCGGGAATGTGCTGCTTCAGCAGGCAGCAGCCTGCCTCCTTTTATCAAACATGGAGCCAGCGG